ACGATGCAAAAGCAGAAACCCCTGATAAAACCATCGGATATCATGAGACTTATTCACTACCCCCATGATTCAATTAGCTCCCCCTGCACCCCTCCCACAACACCTAGGAATTATGGGAGTACAATTCAAGATGAGATTTGGGTGGAGACAGAGGACCAAACCATATCATCCACCATGCTGACACTCTGATCTTGAACTTCCAACCTCTAGAACAGAAATCTTTCTTGTTTACACAACCTCACCTATGGTTGTTATGGAAGCCTGAGCAGATATCTTACACTTTGGGCTGATGGTGGGCTAAGTCCATGATGATACACCTCATAGGCTGAATGACCTGATTTCTCATTCTTGGAAATATTTTCTTCATCATAGTCATAACAGTGATCATGTCAAAATAATCTTTAGAACATGTTGAAAAGGCTCCACTCTTGGTCTGAGCTCAGGAGATGTGGGAGAGATTTACCCATGTCGGCTATTACACATAGATCCCAAAGGAAGTCTCAGGTAAATTTTAAAAACACATTGAACTAGATTGAAATTAAAATGTAATGTATCAAAATTTGTGGGACACAGTTAAGGCAGTGATGAAAAGGAAATTAAAAACACCAAATGCTTACATTAGAAAAGAATACAATTCTCAAATCAACAGTCTCTGCTCCCAATTCAAGAAACTAGAAAAAGAAGAGCATAATAAACTAATAGCAAGTAGAAGAAAAGATATAATAAATATAGAGAAAAAAATCAATGAAATTGAAAACATACAGACAATAGACTAATTCAATTAAAACAAAGAGCTAGTTCTTTGAAAAGATCAATACAATTAACACACCTCTAGCTAGAATGACAAAGGAAAAAAAGAGAAAATGCAAATTACCAATATAAGGAAGGAAACAAGGGATGCTATGGCCCATTCAACCATCAACAGCATAATAAGGGAATACTACAAACAATTCTACACATATACATTCAACAATGTAGATAAAATGGGCCAATTTCTTGAAAAACACAAACTACCACAAGTCAACCAATATGAAATAGGTAATTGGAACAGCCCTGTAACTATTAAGACAATTAATTTGCCATTAAAAACTCCCCCAAAAGAAATATCCGGGCCCAGATGGCTTTACTGAAAAATTCCACCAAACATATAAAGAATTAATTCTATACAAATAAAAGAGGTATGATTTCCATTTCATTGATTTATATTTTAGAGAAAGAGTCTCACTATGTTGTCCCGGTGTCCTGGCTATCCATGAAAGGATGACTGGTGCACATTTTTTTGTTTTTGTTTTTGAGATGGAGTCTTGCTCTGTCACCCAGGCTGGAGTGCAGTGGTGCAGTCTCGGCTCACTGCAACCTCTGCCTCCCAGTTCAAGCGATTCTCCTGCCTCAGCCTCTCGAATAGCTAGAACTAGCAACACACTGCTGTGCTGGTTTCCAATTCATTTTATGAAGCTAGTATTGCTCCAAAACCAAAACCAAACAGAGACAGTACAAAACAAAAGCAAAACTCCAAATCAATATCCCTACTGAATATAGATGCAAACATCTTTAACAAAATATTGCCCAACAGAATTGAGCAATATAAAAAGAATTACATACCATGATTAACTGGGAACTATTTCAGCGATGCAAGGCTGGTTCAATATTAAAAAAATCAATCAATATAATGTAACATATTGACAAGCTAAAGAAGATAAATCACATGATAATATCAATTCATGAAGAAAAAGCAATAGATAAATTCAACACTCATTCATGATTAAAACCCAAAAAGTAGACCGGGAGAGAGGAACTTCTTCAACTTGATAAATCTACAAATAAAACTCTATAGCTAACGTTGTATATAATAGTAAAAGACCGACTATTTTCCTTCTGAGATTTAAAGCAAGATGTCCACACTAATGACTGCTATTCAATATAGTACTGGAAGTTATAGTCAGGGCAATAGGGCAAAAATACATAAATAATAAACAAAGAAACAAAAATAAAAGATATATATATCAGAAAGGAATAAATAAAACTGTCCTTATTTTCAGAGGGCATAGTTGTCTGTATAGAAGATCTATGATTAATCAACAAAATGCTTCTATAACTAATAAGTAAATTCAGCAAGGCTGCAGGATTCAAGGTCAATATATAAACATCAATTGTATTTCTGTATACTAGCAATGAACACCAAGGCCACAAAATTAGGAATACAATAACATTTGTAATTACTCAAAAAAATAATACTTATGCATAAATCTAACAAAACCGGTACAGAATTTGTGGGCTGAAAACTACAAAAGGCTGACAACACAAATCAAAGAAGATCTAAATAAATTGAAAGAATACCAAGTTCGTGGATTGGAAGTCTTAATATACTAAAGTTGTCAATTTCCCCAAAATCGATATGTAGGTTTGTAACAGGATGAATAATAACCACCCAAAGATAACAGGTTCTAATCTAAATATTGCCTTTTAAGGAAAAGAGGTCTTCACAGATATGGTTCAGTTAAAGATCTCGACAAGGGGGTATTACCCTAGATAACAGAGATGAGTCCTACATTCAATCACAGGTGTCCTTACAAGAGAGGCAGCTGACAATTGTACAGAGATTATGCAGAGATTAAGATGTAGAGACAGGCAGAGATTGGAGTGATGTGGCCAAGGGATGTCAGCAGCTACCAGAAGCTGCAAGAGGCAAGGAAAGAATTCTCCCTGAGAGCTGCCTGAGGGAGAATGGCTCTGCCAACACTTTGATTTTTAATTTCTGGCCTTTAGAACTCTGGAGAATACATTTCTACTGTTTTATTTTATTTTATCTTATTTGAGACACAGTCTCACTCTGTCCCTGAGGCGTGATCTCGGCTCACTGCAACCTTCGCCTCCCAGGTTCAAGTGATTCTTCTGCCTCAGACTCCTGAGTAGCTGTGATTACAAATATGCACCACTATGCCTGGCTAATTTTTGTATATTTTTTAAATTATACTTTAAGTTCTAGAGTACGTGCGAGGGTTTTACCATGTTGGCCAGGCTGGTCATGATCTCCTGACCTCAAGTGATCCGCCCACCTCGACTTCCGAAAGTGCTGGGATTACAGGTGTGAGTCACTGCACCCAGCCACATTTCTATTGTTTTAAATGGCTGAGCTTGTGGTCATTTTTTACAGCGGCCACAAGAAACCAATACAAGGTTTAACACAACTCCTATCAGAATCCCAGGAAGATTTTTGTTACAAAGGAACTAGAATAGCTAAAACACTTCTGAAAAAGAATAACAAAGTGGGAAGAATTGCTTTACCTGACTTCAAGATACTATATAGCTATGGTAATCAAGAACTGTGGTGTTGGGGGAGGGATATACACAAAGATCAATGGAATGAAATGAGAACACAGAAACAGACACATACAAATACGCCCATATTCTTGATAAAGGTACAAAAACAGCTCAATAGAGGAAGGATAGACTTGCAACGAATAATAAATGGTCTTGGAGCAATTGGACATCCACAGGCCAAAAAAAAAAAAAAAAGAAAGATAAAGAAAAATGGAGAAGAAACAAATGACCTTAGGTCAGAATTTTTAGTTAATTAAAGTTAACTCAGAATGAACCATGGACTTACATGTAAGATGTAAAATTATAACACTTTAAAAAAATACATAGGATAAAATTTTGAGGAAGTGGGGCAAGGTAAAGAGTTCTCGGACTTGACATCAAAAACACTATCTATAAAAGAAAAATTTGGTAAATTAGATTTCATCAAAATTAAAAACTTTTGCTCTGCAAAAGAACCTGTTGATGGGATGAAAAGACAAGCTGCAGACTGGAAGAAAATATTTACAAACCACACTTTTGAGAAAAGACTAGTATCTAGAATATATAAAGAAACTCAAAACTCAATAATTTAAAAAATTCAAATTAGAAACCAGGCAAAAGATTTAAAGGGACATTTTATCAAAAAGGATAAACAGCTGGAAAATAAGCGCATGAAAGATGTTAAATATCATTAACTATCAGGAAAAGGCAAATTACAACCACACTGAGCTATCACCTCACATCTATCAGAATGGCTGCAATAAAAAGTGACGACAGCAAATACTGATAAGGATTATGGAGAAACTACATCACTCTTACACTGCTGATGGGAGTAACATGGTACAGCCACTCTGGAAAACAGTTTGGCAGTTTCTTATAAAAAGTAAACATGCCATTACCACAAGACTCAGCGGTTGCTCTCCTGAAAATGTATTCCAGAGGAATGAAAACATGTTCACACAAAAATCTGTACACAAATATTTCGAGCAATTTTATTCATAATGGTCCCAAAATGGAAATCCAGATGTTCTTCCATGGAGGAATGACTGCGATGCCTCCATACCATGGAATATCACTCAGCAATAAAAGAAATAAATTATTGATACATGTGAAAACTTAGACACATCTCCAGAAAATGTATGGTGAGTAAGAAAAGTCAAGTTCAACAGGTTGCATGCCTTATGACTCCATTTGTATAGCATGTTTAGAATTGCAAAAGCATAGAAATGGAGAAGAGATTAATAGTTTCCAGGGGTTAAGGAAGTGATGAGAGAGGAGGGAACTGGATGTGAGTATAAAAAAGCAACAGGCGGGTGTGGATCATTTGAGGTTGGGAGTTTGAGACCAGCCTGGCCAACATGGTGAAATCCCATCTCTACTAAAAAATACAAAAATTAGCCAGGCTTGGTGGTACAGGCCTGTAATCCCAACTACTTGGGAGGCTGAGGCAGAATAACTGCTTGAACCCACAAGGTGGAGGTTGCAGTGAGCCGACATCGTGCCACTGCACTCCAGCCTGGGTGACAGAGTAAGACTCCGTCTCAAAAAAAAAAAAGAGGAATCTCTGTGGTGCTGGGAATGTTCTGTACCTTAACTCTGACAATGTCAATATCTTGGTTGTGATATTACACTTATGTTTTCAAGATATTACCGTTAGTGGAAATTAGGTAAAAAGCGAAATGGAATCTGTATTATTTTATAACTGTATATGAATCTATAATTCTTTCAACATAAATAAGTTTAATTAAAATATATATAGTTGCTATTAAAACTCAAGCTGGTAATTAAATCCAATATAGAATTTTGAAATAAACTTGAAAAAAATCAATGTGTATGTCAATGAAATAAGCAGAGAGACCTAGTGTTCAGATCAGAGGGCTGTGGAGTATGTTCTTCCCTATTGACTCCATTTTCCCTAAAGCATACCTTTGATACTTGGAGGGCTCTGATAGACGTTTCTGGCATCTCAACAATGATGGAAAGTGGAAGCAGGAAGCTGGGACACCAGCACCTGCTAACTGCATGACTATGGGGACCTGCAATATAGAGAAGTAATGGTGTCTACCATGCTGAGTTATTGTGAAGGTTGTGCCCAGGGGCACAGAACATGACTGTACGTCAACACATAGTAACTTTTTGCCAAGATCAACCTTCATTGACTAGTATGCACCTTCCAAGAGCACCTCCTACCCTAAGGATGCTGTGGATGAAAGCTCTCCACTCAAGCAATCTTCATTTTGTTTGGGGAGAGAAGAATGATGAGAGCCAGGGCAGCCTCGAGTGTTAGGGAACTTGTTTGTGGCAATGACCACAGGGCAAGGATGATGGAGTAGGGTGGGGGGTTGGGGGAGATGGATGCAGATAATGCCGGGGCAGGGGCATGTACACCAAGGATGTGGCTGAATCCTTGCAAGGGTCTCGTCCTTTCTCTTCTGCCTGCCTCTTAGTCCTCTCCCAGCTTCACATGGAACCACTCTTTATCTCACCCATGGAGTGGCCTGTTTCTTGCCCTACAGTTTCTCTGCTCTATCACCATCTGAAATGGGCTGTAGAGGATCTGCCTGTTTGGGATCAGAAGATTGGGACTGAACCACAGCACCCCCTCTCATTAGCTAAGTGACCTCTGAAAACTCTCTGAACCATATACATGTTTATATATGTTTTATCCATATATAAAATGCAGAGAATGAGGCTCCTTCATAAATCAGCCTGTGTGAGGCACATACATGGCCTCCCGTGTTCAGTACCTGTGGACCACATGTCTGCTCCTGCTTCTCTTGGCCAAAGAAATAAATGCCAGCTTCAATTAAAACAAATAGGGTTTTCACAGCAATACTGGGCACTTAAGGAGAATTAGAAAGTAGCTGAAATTATAGTCTTGCCTAAGAAAACACTCTAATTTTGACCTTATAGTAGAAGACCTCACGCCAGCAGAAATCCAGCTTTCACACAGAATTTCAGGACAGGTTACAGGGCTCATATTTAGCCACTCCCCAGAAAAGGGTTCAGATCTTGAATGGAGATTGGCATCACTCACGCTTCTGGGTCACTTGAGGATAGCTTTGGCAAAAGATCAGGAACAAAACCACCTCCGTAAGCTGTTCCAGAGGGTTCCTCTTCTAGAAATCCTGCTGGGTCCTTGTGGGGTGCACAGACACCCGTGTCAGCAGGGCTCCTTCTGTGCACTGCCCCTGCCAGGACCACCCACAGATAGGAACCCTCCGCAAGTTAAATGGAATGTATCTCAGAGCCTCATGCATTTCTTTAATATATCTCCTTGCCCCATTCCACAAAGGATTTGAGCAAACTTACAAGACTTTGCACTCTAAAATAAAAAGCTACAAATAACTTAATAAACTGAGACTGGGGAGAATATATTTAGAACAGGAAATCAAGACCAGGGCAAAGTTACCCTGCCAGGTGTGTGAGCTATAGGCTTCTACAGTTACAAAAATTGAGCAGAGAATGTGACTCTGAGCTTTCTGGCAGCCAAAGCTGAGAGAGAAAAGCATGGTTCATGAATTCAGTGAACATAAGGCAAACACTCACCAGTTTCTCAAGGAAGCAAAGTTCTTTCTGACATTTAAATCTACAAGAGACATTTCTTAGGTATGTCTTTACATAGGGAACAGGGAGTGCTGTCGTGAACAGCATCTTCAACAACATCCTATGAAAGTTCAGGTCCAGAGTTTGCATGGTTTCAGCCATGTATCCTCCCATAGCAACACTGCCACCACAGTTCTAGGAAACCTAGATCAAATGTGCTGGGTCTTGATGTTCAACCTAGGGATAAAACATATTTTAATCGCTTAAACTTTTTTAAACATATGGTGGAGGGGTAAGGGAGATGCAACTACAGAAGAAGCAGCTCAGCACTTAATGCTGTGAATTATACAGAGGGAGGTCCGGTGCCTCCAGTTCCCCCTTCTGTCTCCATGATTTTGTATTGTGATTTCAGTACCTGGTGGCTTCTCAAACATTCATCTCCTCAGTAAATAACTGTTAAGCATTTCCTATGTGCCAGGTGATATAGTTTGTATATTTGTGCCCAATTAAATCTCAACATTGTGGAGTAATCACCAATGTTGGAGGTAGGGCTTGGTGGGGAAGGGACTGGATCGTGGAGGTGGAATTCTCATGAGTGGTTTAGCACCAGCCCCTTGGTGCTGTTCGCATGAGGGTGAGTGAGTTCTTATGAGCTCTGGTTGTTTAAAAGTGTGTGACACTTTCTTCCTATGATCTGTCTCTTGCTTCTGCTCTGGCCATGTGATGTGCCTGCTTCCCCTCTGCCTTCTGCCATGATTGTAAGTTTCCTGAGGACAGAAGCTGAGCAAGTGCCACATTCTGTACATGCCTGTACATGAGAAGCTGTACAGGCCACATTCCTGTACAGCCTGCAGAACTGTGAGCCAGTAAACCTCTTTTCTTATAAATTATCCAGTCTTAGGTATTTCTTTATAGCAATATGAAAATGGCCTAATATACCAGGCATGTGTTGAACAATAGGGAGTTAGTTTTGAAAGGACAGCTATGTCCTTTTAGAACTTACTATTAGTGGGGGAAGAAAGATATTAAGCAAGTAATTACTGGTGCAGACACTGCTACCAATGGTGAAGTGCCAGGATTATGGAAGGGGTCCATATGGGGTATTGAATTAGTCAGGTAGTGAAGAAGATATAGCCATTTAAGCTGAGATCTTAAGGATAAGAACTAAACAGCCAGGGAAAGAGTATTATGAATAGAAAGAAGAGCATGTACAAATCCCCTAAGTGAGAGAGGTGTTAGAACATTCCAGAAACTGGAGATGTCGGGACATTCCAGAAGCTGAAAACAGTGTGATGCTTGGCGGGGGCAGAGATGGTGGGGGGAAGAAGAGGAACGGCTCCCAATGGGGCTGCTGAAGGAAGTGGCACACTTCATTAAGGGCCTGGAAAGCTTTGCCAAGGATTTGTGTTTTATCCTAAAATAAATAGGCAGATATTGGCAGGTTTCAAGCAAGGGAATTTTAATGCCTGTTCGCATTCTGATGATCACTAGCTGCTGTGCGAAAAAAAGGATGGGAAGATGACAAGAGGGAAGAAAGGGAGGCCACAGTCTTTCTAGGATTAGGTTATCCGAGCAGGAGGTGGGGGTGGCAAGAGTCTTCAATGAACAACAGGTCAGTACCAGAAAAGAAAAGATGACCACAGCAGATGATTCTGAAAAACAATCCAATTGCCTGCAAGTGAACCACTGCAAGTCCGGTACATTGTGAGTCGGATCTGCCGAACGCCACAGCCCCTGGGAAAAACAGGGGCCCTGAGACAGACACTAATAACAATGCAAAGTCATTCATGCTTTTATTGTTCAATTATAATGAGTCCACTCATCTTGGTAATAATAATAATGATGTGTTTGAATAACATAATTGCTTAATAGCCATTCCTTACCACCACCACCACCACCCCCTACTATTAGGACAAAACTAAAATAATTTAGAGTATTTGTCATTCTAAAAGAGGCAGAAAAAATTGCTATTCTCTGCTAGTAGCTCTTAAGAAATGAATTATATACAGGATCCAGTTATTTCTGTGGCTTTAAAGGGGAACCTTTGCTTAGGGCAGCAAAATATATAAGGGTTATCCTTTCAGGAAAGCCCCTTTCATATAAACAGAAACTTTTCTTTGTGGAATTCAGGAAGTCTCTGAGCCTCAGTTTTGCTCTCCATAATGGGGAATCAGACTAATCTGTGGTTTCCAAACCCAGGTATACATAAGAATGAGCTAGGAAGTTTATCAAAAATTTACCTGTTTGGGCTCCATCCGTGATTCTCTGTGTGTGGAGTCTGAGAATTTGTATTCTGAACTACTTGCTTGGATGACCTCTCAAGTTCCTTCTGTCTTCAAAAGTCTAGGACACTGCTTTGCAGTGTGGTACACCTGGGAGCTTGTTAGACATATAGAATCTCAGCCCAAACCCAGACCTGCTGAAGCAGAATTTGCTCTTTCAACAAGAATCCTGGAAGATTTGGAGGAACATTAAAATTTGAGAAGTTCCAGTCTAGGACTCTACCTTTCAAATATGCACCTTATTTCCTACAGTTCAGGAAAACTTGGCAGTTGGAGAAGAAACCAACTTTCCAGCGGAAGCAGAGCAACTCAGTGGCTGAGCTTCAAATGCAATTCGGTTGTCCTTTATCAGCAAGGACAGAAAGCCTCTCTCACCGCCATAAATAAGCTCAGAGAAAAGAAGCCGAATCAGCAAAGGTAAATCAAGTCCTGAATTGTGCTGGCTCATGCATATATTGGAGACAAACAAAAAAGGAAGCACTAAAATCTTGTGCATATTTCTTTAAAATATATAAATAGTAGATAATCAGAGGCTGACTTCAAATCTGGGTCTGCATAAATTTCTTCTCAGGGGTATTAAATATCCTCCTCCCTTTCCGCTTCCTTTTTCACTGGGTCCTCATCCTGAGCTGCGTTCTGCAGTTTCTCTCCTGTCTCAGACGCGACTCTCACCTATTTGGCTCCTCTTTAAAAAAAGAAAAACAGGCAAATCAAAATAAGCAACAACAACAAAAACCTGTTATAATTTCTTCCATTAGTACTACATGGATAAATCCCAAATCTCTTTCCATATTTACCTCTCTACTTGAATTTAAACTCAGTTTGCCTATTGTCTTCAGGAATTGTTTCAGTAACTGTCATTTAGTCATTCAGTCCACCAACATTTATTGAGCCCCTACTTAGTTTGGCACCCCGAAGTATCATACTATGTGAGATTAAATCCAACCTGCCTCTTTCCTCTGGGAGCTCAGAGTTTATTAGAGATTTAAACTTCAGGAATATTAATAACACCTAATAGAAAGTGAGAAGTGAAGATTTAAAAGAGAGAGAGATAAAATGGTATGGGGAAAGCCAAAGAAGATAATTTTTCTGGCTGGGGAAAAATAATAATGGTTTCTTGGGGGTCATGGTGGGTTTAAAATATGCATTGAAAAGTTAAACTGATATGGGCAGGTGTTAAAGTTTCCAGGCTGGTACCGGAAAGCAAGATACATCACCAGGAAAGGGAATAGCATCTGCAAAGACAAAGTGGTTACCATATATAGTGTGTGGACATCTGAATATAACGAAGTTGACTTGAGTGGCCCCTGCATGAAGATAATTCAAAAAATATGTTGAAAAGATTGTGGAGGGTTTTAAATTTTAGTCTACGAAATTTGAGCTTTATTCTAAAGCAATAGGAGCAACCAATAACTTCCTCAATAGAGGAGTGACACAGCCAAGCCTGAGCTTTTGGGGGAAAATGCTGGTTAAGAGAATTGGACCCTGAAAACCCAGAGGAAGGGCACCGCAAAAGGCTTGGTGGAGGGCAACGCGGACTGAGCTAGGAGTGGGTGAACAGTGGGGAGACCATTTATAACTGTGGCTCTGTCTTATAAGTTAGACCTTCTTCCCTGGGCTGGCTCAGATTAGTCAGGTTAGGGAGGGGAGGAAATGGGCGTACCGTAACAATCGAAATCTAGTCGTTTCCTGCTATCCTTCAGTATTTTTCACCTACAGCTGCTTTGAGCTTTCCCTATGGTTTCAGAAACACAGAGAGATTATAGTCATGTCGGTGTGTCTTTGCAAGAGCAGAATAAATCCTATATATCTTTTCAAATTAAAGTTTTTTTCTCCCACTCTCCAGGGAAAGCAGCAACTTCTCCATTCATGTAGAAATAAAATTGCTAGCCATTATGTTTGCTGATCATTTAGAGAAGTTTATACCCCTAGCAACCAGATATACTCAGTTTGTCTCCAACACAGATGGAAGACCTTAAAAAAACAAAAAGCTCAATCTTCTTTTTTTTTTTTTTTTTTGAGGCAGAGTCTTGCTCTGTCACCCAGGCTGGAATGCAGTGGCGCAATCTCAGCTCACTGCCAGCTCCGCCTCCTGGGTTCATGTTATTCTCCTGCCTCAGCCTCCTGAGTAGCTGGGACTACAGGCACCTGCCACCACGCCTGGCTAATTTGTTGTATTTTTAGTAGAGACGGGGTTTCACCGTGTTAGACAGGATGGTCTCCATCTCCTGACCTCGTGATCCGCCTGCCTCGGCCTCCCAAAGTGCTGGGATTACAGGCATGAGCCACCACACCCGCCTTTACTAGAAACAGTTTTCTAAAAGTACATATTCAAAAAGGTATGTTTTAAAAACAATTCATGCATGGATCATTCCTTAAATAGAAATTTCAAGTAGTTTCAGAAAATTAGAATTAATTATAACGATCCTGACTTACTTGGTTCATTCCCCTAGGAATATCTCATATATATTCAGTGTGCTTAGATTTCACTGGCTCTGGGTGCAAGGATTCCAGGCCAAGTGCCCAATATCAATTCTCCATAGGGTCCTCCAGGTCCCACAGTCTTGGAGGCGTTGGAGATGTCCCAAAGCCAAGACTGCCCAGAAAGACCCAGGTCCAATCCTTGAGAGTAGTAAACTAAAAATAAGAGTCTTTCCTTTTTCCTCTTTTCCTCTATTTTGTAATATTTTTGCTACCACCAGGTGGTAGCAGGTAAGTGCATCTATGAGAAAGGTGGAGTTATCAAAGTGTAAGGCTCAGTTTCAGGAAATTACCAAAACAAACTCTGTTTAATGAAAGTCTGGAAATGTTAATTAAATAGCATCAATATTACACACGGAACAAAAACAAAAATACAAATATAAATGAGGTGTCTTTCCTTGTGGGAAAAGTCAGAAAGTGTGTGGTCAGTTGTTTTCAACAATAAACGAACTTGGCTTCTTTCATATAAGACCCAATGGTCAGCTTGAGGAATGTCCCGCGTTTTCACCCACATTTTTCTCAGATCCCAAATACTCTCATGGTACCAGTTTCATGAAAAGAATAAACCGCACTCCATTAGAATCATCAAAAATCTTAGAATTTTAGAGCTAGTAGGAGCTTTTTTGCTTTACAAATGAGGAAACTGGCCCTAGAGAAGTTGCATGGTGACTTGGTGGAATGGACCAGGGCCCAGCAATTCCTCCTCCAACCAGGCTTTTTCCCCCATCCTGTGCCACTGCTGCTCCTATCAAGGAGTGTGTTGTTCCGTCCAGTGGTCAACCCTCAGCCCTCAGATGCTCTTCCTTGGCCATAGACAGCGTTTGCCTACAGCCGGTCACTCCCACACCCACACTTCCTTCACTTGACTTCCGGAACACAGGCCTCTTGGTTTTCCTCCTACCTCATCATCCTTTCTTTAATCACATTTACTGGTTCCTCCTCATCTCCCCAAGATGCTAAAATTGGAGTTCCATGGGGCCCAGCCTTTGGTCTTCTACTCTTTGTTAGCTACAGTCATTCATTCCCTTGGGAAATCTCCTCTAGTCTCATCTCCCTAGTGAACAACTCCCTAGTGAAGACCCTGGATTTGTATCTTCAGCCAAGACCACAGCCGTGATATCCAGGGCCCTTTATCTCTCTTCCTTCTTAAGATCTCCACTTGGGCATTGTTATGGATTGAATGATTCCAGTTTCCCACATTAGAACCTAAATTCGTGAGTCACTGACACAAACTTGATCTACCTGTAGTCATTTCTAACCCCAATTAATTGCAACTTTATCCCCCCAGGCCAAAACCATTGGAATCATTCTTGTTTCCTCTCTTTCTCTCAAATTCTACGCCCAAGTCATTGGCTCTGCCTCATAAACACCACTCCTTACCATCTGCCCTTCCAGCATCTGATACAAGTTATATTTTTCTTGCTGAGTTTCTTGAAAATATTTCTACACATCTACATGCTTCAGCCTCTTGTTTCACTATAGTCTCAACTTGACAGCTAAAGGGGTCCTTTTAAAACTTGCATTAGAACATGTTGCCCTCCAAACCCTCCAAAACCTTCCATTTCTCTAAGAGTACAAGCCAAAGTCCTTATGATGTTTCTAAGACCCTTAGAGCCTGCCCCGAAGCCTCCCTGACCTCATCTCCTGCCACTATCCTCCTGGCTTACTCTGCTCCAGCCACATGGTCGTCTTGCCATTTCTGAATATTCCAGGCATTCCCTTGCTTCAGGGCCCTTGTGATCACTACTGCCTCTGCCTGGTCGGCCCTTGCAAGATGGCTGTGTGGCTCATTATCTAACCTCCTTCAATTCTTTGTTCAGAATTGTCTCTCTGAAATGTCTCTCAGAAATGTCTCTCTCACACAAAGCTTTCCTGACCACCCTTTCAAAAACTGCACCCTACCACTCCTACCTTCCTTGCTTTATTGTCCTTTATAGCACTTACTTACTTTCAACATATTGTATATTTTACTAATTTTTTCTGTTTCTTCCTATGAGTGTATACGCATCGAGAAAGCAGGGATTGATGTAGGTTGTGCTCACTGATGGGTCTCTGTGTATAAACCAGTTCCTTGCACTGGTGTATTGAATCAATGTGTGTTGAACAAATAATTGTGGTGTGAATGAATGGATGAATGAATGGATGAATCCAAGTCTAGTTTCCTTGTAATATGATATATGGCTTTTCTTCCAGTTTCACATTCTTCTGGGCTTGGCAAAATCAGTTTCGAATACAACTGCTCCTAGTAATGGAAGTTACGTTAGAAAATTCAACATGACAATGAACTTCTGCCATCACTTCTGTATTATGGCACGTAAGGCTTGTTCTCTAAGAGTTGTTTATATCTCCTTAAGTGCTATACCTATAGTTCAGATGAGCTGCCACTAGGTAGAACTCTGGGCGTTCAGTTAGGAGCTCTGCATCTCTAATCTGTCTCTTCCTCTCCCTACATACTGTCCTAGGCCAGGCCCACGTAGTCTCCTGTTAGGTCACTTGCATCAGCTTCTCAGTTGGTTTCCCCATTCTTAGTCTTTCTCCCCTAATTCCCACCTAACCAGAATGATCTATCTCAGTGGTCTGCAATCTTTCACTTTTAGTGGCCACCCCTTTGTAATTATAGGTAGACTCATATATAGAACAGAGCATCTCTATTTGAAGCTCTTTCTTTCACCCCACCTCAAGGCAGTCTGTGAAGAAGCCTCCAGGACTCAGGGAGCTGTAGAATGAAGTTCATATTACCCTGATCAATCCAGTCCATACATTTGGCTTGAACGCCCCTTTTCACACAAACCAGCAAGGGCTCCCTATTGCTCAGAGAAGTGCTTTGTCTACCGTAGTAATCCATGCACCACGTTCATGAATTTTTCTTTTCTTCTTTTGTTTTTTGCCACAGTCGTATGCCTCTCTTACTATTATTCACCTAACGTTTTTCTTAAAACCAACTCATATTTATAAACTTAAATTTAGGGAATCTAAATCATTATTGTCACCACCATAAACTAAAACCCAATGTGTCATTCATTATGAATAGAAGAGAATATTACAATTAAATATATAGGGATTCAGATGACAAAGTTTTCATGTTCATCTGTAAGTGTGCACCACACTGTAGGGAAACCCCGCCTAGAGAATAAAGCTGCAGCTCCTTTATCCAGTTTGTTCAACCCTCTCCATGAAGAGGAAAATTCTTAAGGTTCTCTGCAC